CCYAAGGGCTTTTCACCCCTGGGTGACAATTTCCAGTTAATGAGCAGCCCTTGGGGAACATGAACCTTGTTGGCTTTGATTGGAACCCACCTAATGGACCCAGAGAGACCTGGAGCAGAAGCTCTGTCAGACAGGCACGATCCCCACAGCTGGATCAGGAGCAGCTGGGATCTCTGCAGGGCTGGAATTCCCTCATTCCCACACCTGAGAGATGCTGTGACTCCCCCAGGCAGCTGCAGGCTCTGTGTGTACCCGTTCACGAGTTTTATCGACACAAGGACGCCGAGAATGAAGAAACATTTGTGGAGTTTCACATGTACAGACGGTCAGAAACAATGAGAAAAGGGAAATGCCACCTGAAAGGATGGGAGCTTGTTTGCCGAGAAGCCTCTGGGCTGAGGGTTTAAATAGACACGCGGCGATGGGGGAAGCAGCTGAAAGGGGAAGCGTTTCATCCTAATTTGAGACAACAAAGAATAGGCCTTTGTGGAAGGGATGAAAAACAYTTGTGCAGGCGCCTTTCCCAAAGTGTGCACACAGCAGCCGTGCCCCGTGCACACAGCCCTGCGCTGGAACGGGCAAACACGGCATCGAAAACAGCCCGAACTGACCAGAGAAACCCTTCAGCACAGGATACAAACACGAGAGATTCCCTCCCCCGGCAGCTGCTCAGGACAGTCACAAGATGAGGTTGGAGCTGAACTCTTCCTGCTCAGACAAAGCAGCGGCAGAGCAGCCCTGAGCGGCGTGACCGGGGACGGTCCCCAGCGTCCTCCATCCCCGAGACTCCAGCACACGGCTGCTCATGCCAGCTCTGCTCACTTCTGCTTCAGCCCACCCCAAAATAGGGGCCAGCCGCGTTTTGGGAGCACCCAGCTGCTCTTGGCCCAAACACTGTGAGAATTTTGAGCAATGGAACAGAGCATTTGAGGGGAAGCCAAGCCCCATCCCCATCTCTTACAAATACAGAGTGGCCATGCGGCACCCAGCGTCATCGATAATTGTCATTGATCATTGTCACCGCACCACGGCACAGCCCCACCCAGCCAGGGAGCGCTTTCCTATTCCCCTTTTAACTCAGCGAGAGGCTCACACTCACATCTGCCGGCTGCAAACACGTGTGGAGCTTTTCGCTGCCCGGCCAGGTGGGCAGGCAGCCCCCAGCCCTGCCCGGGCACCCCGAGGCTCCAGCCCCGTTCCGGGAAGGAGCGGCACAGGTGGCAGCGCTGAGCCACAGCTGGCCCGGGCAGCTCCGGCCCCGCTTTTACCGGCAGGACACCGAGCCTGGTGAGCTCTCAGGTGCTTCGTGTTAAACTCAGCGAGGGCAACATAGCTCAGGTGAAACCTCGGCCTCCAAAGCCCCAAACCACGCTGCTTCCCCSCAAACCCCCGCTCCGCTCCCACTCCCCGGAGCCAGCTCCCTTCCAGCCGCACATCTGCCACCCCCGCCGAGCATTCCCGCTGCGCCAGCCGCCAGCGAGCCGATCGGCCCCAAGCTGAAGCTGCTTTATTTTGTTGGGGTTTTTTTTCAGTGGCAGAGCTTGAAATCAGAGATGAACAAGTCTGAAGGAGCTCCTGCCTGGCCTCTCATGTATTCCAGATGCACATGCTCCAATCGCCGCTTGCCAAACAGGATACGAGGCGCAAGGAAAGAAAGCATTTTATCTTCAAGCTTTTCCAAGAGGGTCTTAGAAACAATGGGGAGGAAATACAAAATTAACACTAGAGAGGAGCAATTGGCAGTGCCCTTGCGAGGCTGTTCTTCATCACAAGGCTGCCTATTCAGTGGCTTTCATTAGGAAAATCACATCGCAGCCATTCCCAACAGTGTCCCTATTTCCTAATTAGGCTTCGCCAAAGAGCTGCATCTCTCAGTTCCCGCCCGGCGCACAATCACAACAATTACCATTTCATTGCACCCGGCCGCCGAAAACACCGCAATTAAAGCATCTGAGAAGTCACACGGGCGTGTCAGCAGGGAGACAAGTTCTCACGTCGTGCTAATTGGCAGCCAAAGACAGATCAGAAGGACGGGTTTGGGCTCCACGCTGGGAAAGGCGCTCGGGGGCTGCGGTCGCTCCCCAGGCTCCCACCCAGGAGGCCGCTGACGGGGGCTCGGTGCGAGCAGGGAGCGCTGGTGACAGGTCCTGTGACCCCTCCGGGCTGTGGCACAGCGAGATGCTCGCTGAATCCTCGGGAACAACCTTGGATCACACCCAMCCAAACAACCCGGACCCAACCCAGGTGGACGCAGATGTCACCTGGAGCCACCGGTGACGGCTTTGGATGAGGGGGACCCTGCCCTGACAGCGGAGATGGGGAGAGGACAAGGATGGGGAGTCCTGCACTGCTGAGSCGCTGAGGGAAGCGGGAGGGAAGTCTGGACAGAGGAGGGAAAGAGCTGCAGCTGTGGAGCCTGGACTGCKTCCACAGGTCACATTTTCCTCCAAGGACGGACATTTCCAGCCTAAACCAGCAAAGCATAGAGATGCCATGAGGGAAGACCTGCTGGGCAGCCCAGCAATACCCAGGGAGCTGGAGGGGCAGAGCTCCCATAAAATCCTCATCGTCCCTCCCCATCCTCGTACCTGGGAGTTCAAACCGCTGCTGAGAGCACAGTCCGGACACAGCAGGAGCCTCCCATTGCTCAGAACCACCTGGGCACTCACCTGAGCACACCCCCCTGAAACACTCGTGCACAGTTTGCCGCTTGCAGAATAACAACACTGCAAAAGTGGGCAGCCCCACCTTGCTCAGCAAGCACCCAGAAAACAGAAGTTGAAACTACTCCAGGGTAACTGCAGCACGGCAAGGTCTCCATGCCAGCTGGGGCGTCCCTGGTCCCCATCAGAGGCAGAGCACTGAATTTGGCATCCCTCAGCCCCGGGGGCTGCTGCAGCACGGGCAGCTCATCCTGCCAGAGCASCTCATCCCGCTGGAGCAGCCGCTGCACCGCTCTGCCAACACTTCCCACCGCACTCAGTCCTTCCTTCTCAGTGCAAAATCCACATCTGCATTTTCACATTCAGCAAAAAGGCTCACGGGGCTGGTTGTGGTTGGTTCTGTCCCAAATGGATACCCTGATTTCCATGGAGAGGAGGGAAAAGCCAGCGGCACCATCCAACAGCAGCAGAGTTGTGGGGCTGCCCCTCACCCACCCCATGCACACCGGCGCTCCACTTTCTCCTTCTGTGTACGCATCCCCAACACTCCTCATCCCCTGTCCTCTGCCCCGAACAAGCTGCAGAMCCGCCGGGAGCAGGGCGGGGATGGCCACACCGAGCCAGGGAAGGCGGAGCGCGGAGCTCCCCGCGCTTCAACACAGCGGGACAGCACCGGGCTCGACCGCACTCACATCCCGGCTCCCGGGGCTCCCAGCGGACCTGCCTCTGCTCAGCTGCTCCCTTCAGAAACCTGGGGAGCACCCCAGCATCACCTGAGCCCTCCAGCCTCACGGACTCCCCGYGACCGAGGGATGGAACCGCTGCAACCACCAGGGCCAGGCTTCCGCTCGTTATCTTCTCACCTTTCTGCACTTGAGCTCTAATCTGAGCAACACGCAGAGCTCAAAACCACTTTGCAACCAAGCTTCGGAAACACTTTGTAACTCCATCCCTGTGTTTGCTTTGAACACGAAAATAGAACCTGGACACCAAATCAACAGGGCTTTCTGACACCCAGAAAAATTAGGGTATTGACGTCCTGCGTATTCCTGGAGTGTGCACCGAACCGAGATTTAGAAAATTGATCTAAAYGGGAAAACGAAATAAATTGCAGCTGTTCAGCATCAGGAGCAGCAGCAGCCCCAGCCTGCAGCTGCCAGAGCAGTTTCGCTGCACCGGGAGCAGCAGAGCCCTGAAACCAGCCCTTAGCAAAGCCAACGGGTGCTGGGTGACAGCAGCCAGATTGTCACAAACATGAAAACAAAGGGCTGAAAGCTCTTTTCTCCCGCTTTCGTTAGTGATTTGAATCATCAGAGCCTTTTCCTCCCTCAGGGCTCGCACCTCCGAAGCAGCCGAACATCCTYTCGGGGAGGCCGCTGCAGGAGAGAGCATGGCCCGACGCCAGGCTGGGCTGGGCACTCACTGGGTGACACTGGTGACACTGGAGGCCACAGAAGCACCTGACGGAAGGTTCTCCTTGGCAGGCACAGCAATCAGCACGGGCCGCTGCAAGGGGCAGCGCGGGTCCGGCCCCGCTGCCGGCGGGAGGTGACACGCTGCTGAGCTTGTCACATCCTAAACCACATCCTGTTGCCAAAGTAGAGAGCTTCCCTGGGGCTGCGAGGACCCAGCTGAGGGAGCAACAGGCGACTTGTGACCTTTGGGTCCCTTCAGGGAAGAGCTGCCGCTGCAGTGACCGGGCTGAGTCACCGCCACCCCGCCCGCAGCGCTGCAAAAACTCCAGGCGGGGAGCGGAGAGCCCCCGGGATTTCCCGCGGAGCCCGGCACGGCAGGGTGGTCCCCTGGGACGGGCACGGCCCCACACCTGGGCTACGAGCAGCAGCTCCGCGGGGCCGCKCGGAGGAAAACAAACCCAGAGTCCCGAAATGAGTCACGGCGGCCGGAGCGTCCCCACCCGCAGGGTGACACCGGCTCCTCCCGGCCAGCCACGGACCATCCCGGGCTGCAGGGGCACCCCGAGGGGGACGCGGTGCGGGGTGCCCCTTCCATGGGTGCGAGGRGAACACCCACCCAGGGGTAGAGCCATCCCGCCGGTGGGTTTAAGGGGAGTTCCATGGGACGGCCGCGGTTCCAGTGCCCCTCCTGTTACCCCACTGACAACGACCCCCCCGCAAACCACACAGCCCCCTCCGGGCACGGCAGTGCGCTGTGCTCCAGCATCCCAAACCCCCGGTGTACACGGACACCCYGGGAAGACAAGAAACCCTTCATCCTCTACGTGCACGGGGTGTCCTTTGCCCCCCGCCCCGCTTACACCGAGCTCGGTGCGTGCCTGGTCCCCCCCGCCCCGGTCCCACGCCCCCCCGGCTGTCCCACCTGTGGGGCGGCTGCGGCCGGGGCTCCCTGCCCATCCTCGGCTGGCCCCGCCGGGCTCTCGCCGGGCTCCGCTCCGCTCAGCGCCGGGCGGCACCGGCGGCACCGGGGCGGGGTGGGCAGCGCACATGTGCGGGGCGGGTCCGCCACCAGCCCCGCCCAGCCCTGGCCGTGCCCCTGCACCTGCCCCCCGCCCGCCACTTCCTCCGCCCACCCAGCCCTCCGGCCTTCCCTCCCTTYATCCAGCCCTCGCTCCCTCCCTGCCGTTCACCCGGGCAGTCATCCCCTCATCCACGCATCCATGGATCCATCCATTGTGACATCCGTTTGTCCCCCCACCACTTTCCCTTTCACCCTTCRCTCTTCCATTTCTGCACCCCTCCATCCATCCCTTCCTTCTGTCATCCTGCCCCTCATTCATCCCTGAATTCATCCCACCATCCTGCTATTCATCCATCTGCCCTTCCCTCCATCAAGCTCTCCTTCTTTTCATCCCTCCCTTCATGCACCTTTCCAAACCTTCACCTGCCCATTAATCCATCCATCCACCCACCATCCTGCTATTCATCCATCTGCCCTTCCCTCCATCAAGCTCTCCTTCTTTTCATCCCTCCCTTCATGCACCTTTCCAAACCTTCACCTGCCCATTAATCCATCCATCCATCCATCCATCCATCCATCCATCCATCCATCCATCCATCCATCCATCCATCCATCCATCCATCCACCCCTGTCCATCCATCCATCCCTCCCTTCATCCCTCCATCCATCCTCCTCTCCACTCCTCCCTCCCTCTGTTCCTCCATCCTGTGAGCTTGTTTTCCTTTCCTCCCTGCACTGCCCTTTACCTCACCTTTGCTGGTCAAACCCTCAGCCCCTCCATGCCAGTGCYAAGCCCAGGCTGGTGACACCAAGCTGGGGACATGCTGCCGTGCCTGSTCTGGTGGCACCTGGGAATGGCCTTTTCCTGCTGCCCTCAGGGCTGCCCCTCAGGAAAGCCCATCCCACCTCTGTTCCTGACCCCAACACGTCCCCATCCCAGCTGCAGACGGGGCTCGTGGCTGGATCCCGCTTGGCCGGCGTTGTGGGCAGGGCAGGAACCTGTGCAGGTTTCTCTGCGGATTTCGGTTGTCGGAAGAGAGTGACCACTGCCGCTGCCGCTCCGAGACTTGAAACTTCCTCGGAGGCCAAAATAGCTGTGGGTTTTGCAGTGAAATTCCAGTGAATTTTAAAAAAAACAAACGCAGTCAGAGCCAAAATCCCCTTTCATTGGTGGCCCATTGACACATCCGCTCGCGGCGCGAAATGCGTGGGATGAGAGCCCCGGGTSCCTGCGTCACCTGCACCAGGTGAAACCCCCAAGGAGGGACACGACCTCGACCTTCACCAGCTGAGTGGCCACCAGTGGTTCAGAAGAAATCCAGAGGCAACAAAAATAACCGGACAAGGAAGGTCTGGTGTTGATGTCACGGTGCCACCTGGCCCAAGGCGCTGCCCTGGGAAATGGCCGAGGGCTCTGGCCGAGCTTTGTGTCCCAGCCCCTCTTGGCTCAYGCCCTTTGCTGGATTCCAGCCTGGGATGTCCATCTGATCTTTCCCATCCCTTCTGYCCCATTCCCACSTCCTCATTTCAGGYCCAGCTTTTCAGGCAGATCCCTGAACTGGAGGTGTTGGGAGGGCTAAAGCTGCAGAGGCCGAACTCCTCGGGGTGCTGGGGCTGCAGTGCGTCCCCTCCTGTCCCATTCCCTCCCCACCTGAGGCACTGGGAGCTGCTGGTTTTGCTCTTGGGGGCCCAGAGCAGCTGAGGAAGTTACCAAACATGGGCTGGGGGGGCTCGTGGCAGCGGAAGGAAGTGGAGGAGGGTAGGGAGAGGCTGTGCCAGGGCTGCAGCAGTGACAAACAGCGGTGTACGGCAACCAGGCTGACACAGCCAGCTCGGGGAAAGGGCTCTGGAGCAGAGACACCTCCAAGGATGTCGACAGCAGCGTGTTCCTGGGAGCTCCTGGGAGCAGGGAGCTGTGCTCTTCCTTACCTCTCAGCTGCTCAGAGTTCAGGGGATCCCAGCGATGACAGTGCCATGCTCCAGCGTGACAGCAGGCAGCAGGAAGTGACCCCAGGTGGCTTTTAGGGGTCACACAGGGAGCAGGAATGGCATCCCCAGTGGCTCCCACCCACTGGGAGGAGGGGTTGCATGGAGTGTGGCTGTGGTGGCACCGACAGTGATGCTGGAGCTGACAGAACTGCAGCTGGRGCAGAACCATGGAGCACCGGCACATCCCAGCTCTGATGCTGCCCCTGGAGCTCTGAGCAGCCCCAGCAGCAGGAGGAGGCTGAGGCTGTGCTCTGGTGACACTCATTGAGACCTTTGGGTTCTCTGTAAATGCTCCAGGGCACGGGATGGGAAACACTGTCCTGGGGGCAGCTCCCTGGGCCAGGGCAAGCATGGGACCAGCCAGCTCTGAGGGAGCAGCTCCACACCAGGGCTGCTGGGCTGCTCCACCTTCATGCCCATCTGGGCTGCCAGCTCTGCTCCACCTTCATGCCCAGCTGGGTTGCCAGCTCTGCTCCACCTTCATGCCCAGCTGGGCTGCCAGCCCTGCTCCACCTTCATGCCCAGCTGGGCTGCCAGCTCTGCTCCACCTTTGCACCCAGCTGGGCTGCCAGCTCTGCTCCACCTTCATGCCCAGCTGGGCTGCCAGCTCTGCTCCACCTTCGTGCCCAGCTGAGCTTCTCCATCCCTCACAGCTGAAGGGGCTGGGCAGAAACATCTGGATACCAAAGTAAGTGTGAGTTCCACACAGTGCAGATTCAGACATCTGACCACATCCCTGCTTCCAGGTGCCCAAGGGCCACCAGCTCTGCTCCAGAGATGCTCAATACCCAATACAAGGATGGGGAGCAAGTAATTAAATATGAAAGTGATTTTTCCACAATGACTCCAAAACAACTCATGGAAGCCCTCGGCTGGGAGAAGAGCAAACTGCACAAAGCCCCTGTGGTGCTGGAAAGGGATTTGCATGGAGAACATGCCTAAGCAAATCAGGTTTCCCATATAAGCAAAGGGGGGGCCAGGAGGACCAGCAGACTGTGACTGTGTCCTGTGACAGCATCCCTCTGCTGCAATCAAATCCTGCATTTCCAGGAATGGGAACTCACAAACCCAAATCTTCCTTCCTTGGCTTCAACTTTGACTCCTTTTCCTCCAGACCAGCACAAAGGCACCTCTTAGGTGGCTGTTGAAAAATGGGATTTACCCTGAATTCACAGAGAAGCTCAAAAATTCATAGGATTACAGATTTGTAGAGTCCCAGAAAGGGTTGGGTCGAGTTGGAAGGGACCTTAAAGATGGCCTTGTCCCAGTCCCCTGCCAGGGGAAGGGAGACCTTTAACTGAACTGTTTGCTCCAAGTCCYGTCCAGCCTGGCCCTGGACATTTCAGTTCATCACGGTCTTGTTCCTGTTCCTGTGTGCTCCACACCCAGACACACTCCCTGAAATGACTCAGACCACCCCACTCACCGAGAATCAATCAATTCCCCCCAAAAATGCCATAAAGTCACCAACCCCACACTCAGGCTGAGCTCTGCAGACTGCACCCAGCACATCTCCCCAGGGTGCTGCCATTGGTGTCCAGACTGAGGCTTTCCCCAGATTTGGGGGGCTGACCCTGCCCTCACACWGACCTGAGGCTGCTGTGTGCTGCTGGGGCTGCCCAGGCTCCAGCTGAGCCCATTGCTTCCCTGTCCCTGAATTCCCACAAAAATGGAGCATCCCAGCCCCAGGGGAGCAGCACCTCCCCCTGCCTGTCCCTCGGAGGGAAGGGGAAGCAGTCACTGAAAAGGGAACCTTCTGGTTTTCCCCACAACTTGTGTTTTTAATTTCTCAGTGCAAACCCAGAGGATCCTGACAGGCTCTTCCACAGCCCCAGAGAAATGAAACTGGGTCAGAGACCTCGGTGTGGGCAGATCTGACCCCAGATGTTCCCCTTCCGCCTCCCACCGAGGACGTGACGATATAATGTTACGTGACCAAACCTTTTGAAGTGTCAAAGCTTTTCTGGCCAATTCAGGGCTGGGAGGGCTCCAGGGCTGTCACACTTTGGGCAGATGAGTCTGATCTGCACTTTTCTGTGCTCCTGTGCAAGGGCTTGGGGTGCCTGGAGTAAACAATCRTTAACTTCTGGATTTGCTCAACCTCCTTTCTCAGCTGCTTCTTCTCCAGAGAAAGTCTGGTCCWGGTTTGGGATCTCATGGCTCTGCTGCCCACGCTGCCACTGCCACCCTGGGGACACGAGCATTTCCCTCMGCCCTCCATGCCTCAGTTTCCATCTGCCCTGCAGCAGGTCCTGCTCCAGCCTCCATCCCGGGACCATTCCTGTTTCAGTCTCKGACCTGTCCATGCTCCAAGCCTGATTTTTCCCATCCCTTCTGGCCCATTCCCACCTCCTCATTTCAGACCCAGCTTGTTGGAAGCATCCACACTTGTCACAGGGAGAAGAGCAGAAGTCTGAGTAAAACCTTGCTGCAGTAAAACCAAAGCTGTGGGATTAATAATTGTGGTGAGAATTGTGGGAGAAGGAGCCAGACTCTGTCCTGTCCTCATGGCCACCTTACTCAGGGACTGGATTCGGAGCTGTCTGGGGCTGGAGGCTCCTGAGGACCCAGGGGGTGAGGCAGAGCTGTGGAAGAGGATGGGGAGCTCTTCCTGCAGGAGCAACAGGGAATGACAAGAAAGGGATGCAGGAATCAGGGCTGGGCTGGAAACCGAGGGTGGCCAGCTGGACACTGGGACAAGCCCTGCACAAAGGCAGACACCCGACCCTCACACTCGACCCCCACAGTCTGCCCTGCTCCCAAACCCACGGATCAGGGATCCCCCACATCCCCAGCAATGCCGGGCCAGCTCTGTCCTCACTGCTGGAAGATTCCCAACACCAGTCCCAACCTCCCTGGTGCTAATTAGTCCAATGACCTCTCTAATTGCCGGTGCCTTATGAAGGAGAGTACTTCCCACCCTCCGTGGTGACCTCGTGGTGGCCTCTGTGCCCAAAGCCTGCCTGGGGCTCGGTCCCTCGGTGGGCACAGCCCCGG